GAAAGAAATCATCATCATCTTTACCATTCTCGTTAGCAGAATGAATGTCATGAAAGCATTAAAACAATAATAGAAATATTTGTACAGTATTGTAATTTCATTACAGATCAAGTCTGTGTTTAATCAGTAATTTTCGTTTAATTTTTCAGGCGGGCATTAAAGTATTTGTAACATATTTGTTTCTTAAACCTTTTTAACACATAGCAGGGGCTGATCCAGAATTTTCAAGAGGGGGGAGGGCACAACAGTTTCAAAATAGATAAGAGAGTAACACACACCACTGACATGCTTTGAAAGTTTAAAAATTTAATGTCAAAACAGTATTACAAAGTGCACATAGTTTTATTCTTTTGGTTAATATCGGCTCTCTGATAATAGGCAACTTTGTTGTATTCAATGTAATTAAATGTGTTTCAAATTTAAACGTTGGTTTTAACAATCTATAGTGTAAGCCTGTCACAATATTTAGGATATTTCATTCTACTTTGCAGCACTGCTAACTGAATCGTGAACTAATGAATATGCATAGTTGTATGACTCAAGTTAAAACGTTCTGTGAATGGAAATAAGTTACATGAATATTAATGAGGTTAAGGCAAAGTGGCAGTGTATGATTCGTGCATTTAAGTGGAGTGTAAAAGTATGCAAATGTCTTTAAAATGGTTAGTTTAAAGGTATCTAGCCAGGAGTTGAAGAGAGAATATCTTAAAGGAAATATGTGGACTGAGGAGTGTCGGTTAAAGGACATATCAGTCGAGGCACATTTTAAGATAAAAGTACAAGACTTATATGTAAAAGCTTAAAGTAATTATACGTGAGTGATAGCTGAAGTAAGAGAGCTTCACAGTATTTGTGAATCAAGAAATGAAGTAAAGAATTGACCGTGAGTACTGTTAATACTGTAGCTGATAAATCAGAATATCTACCTATTGGCATATATAGGGTAGTAGTACTAATAGTGCATGTATTTTGATATGTTATGGGAATACTTACCTTCAATATGTATATACATATATAGATATATGCTATGTATA